ATTACACTCATTTCGTCAATAAAAGTTGTGCGAACTCAAGAGGGGCCATGCAAGTGGTTTTTGTTTTGGTTTTCCTCAATAGGACATGGAGAAGAAGTACAGAAAACAAGCGTTGAAAACAGTTATCAAATGTTTCATGGCGTAATTTTGCTTTATAGTCCTGATTTTTGTTGAAAATGGAACCGGGATAAAAAGAAACGCTGCCGTCTGCTTTAATCAGCTCTACCGTCGGTAAAACTCAGTTCGAATTAGCTCACGGTAGATACTGGTAACTAGACTTCATAAGACTTACTTAAGGTTACTTTCCTTGGGAGAAGTTCATTGAACTCTTAGCATTCAGGGGAAATTTGAAAAGAGTTGTTCGTTGCCATAAACAAATTGCGCTGAACCGTTCGAGCAAGACTCTTACATTAAGATTCTTCGAATTTTCACTTTTGTTTTCCGCTATTCCAGAGTAAACAGTCTTGTAGACTATTGAGCAAATTCAGGTGTTGGATAATCTCGGCCTAATTCTGAAGCAAACAAACGACATACTTTGGAAATTTAACATACTGTTTGCGAGTCACGTCCGAAAACTACATAATGGCGTTTTGTCGACAATCAATCAAATCCTGCTGTTTATATCTCTTCCTGATTGGGTTTATCGATTTATAAAAGGTCATGTTTACGGAGCATACCTATGTTTAGTTTAATATATTTTGATTGCAAAAGACGGTAAGACTGCTCTCTTTAATTGCCTTTCATTGCCCAAGTCGAGGGTTAACTAAATCTTCGCTTAATCCTGAGGCAAACAGAGGACAATTGGGCACATTTTGAAAATTAAATGCATTTCTAGAATGAAATGTTCGAGGCGAACATCACGAATACTCTTCGATCCTCTACCCATGTGCACAAACAATACTTTGTAAAAGAAAGTACAAATAACAGCTCTAGAACTTAACACATGCGCACAAACTAAAGCATTTCAAAAGTGTGTCGAGGAGAACGTCACGGAAACTTGACGCCTGTGCACCAACATTGTGTCTCTGTAGTCGATTTGGGACATTTCCAAGCCTCTTGAACAAAACTTACTGAAAACAATTTTGTCAATTCCGTGTTGATCTTGTGGTCTGAGCTTTAACATATTTTTACCGTTTCCTCTGTTATGCCTTGTAGAACTCGTTAAGGAGACAAGACATGGAGTTGCTTGAACAACTTCTCAGTCTCAACAATAGTATTCAGGAATTCAAGCTATCCCAGCATGCCTCATTGACCGACATGTCCGACTCCTCTTCGGACGAATGTGAGCCGGAGACAGCCATGGAAAAACCGCTGAAAGTGAAGCGCTGGCACAGCCGTGGAAGCTTGGCTTCTGACGGAAGCGGTTATCACAGTGCGTCAAGCCGCTTATCAATCGGAAGCAATCCTTCGCTAAATGTAAGTGACGTAGGAAGTTACGACAGCGGTCATGAGAGCGGTGCTGGATTAAAATCGTGCAGAAGGAGAAGTAGAGGGAAATTTGGGTCCGGGGACTTAAGGCGAGTGTCATTTGGAACGGTGAGCGAACGAGGAAGCGGAAGTGAAATCTTCAGCAACGGAAGCGATGTTACATTTCCGGCTCAAGCTGTGAGACGGAACTCAGAATACCGCGTGGCAGAAATAAGGCCTATTAAGACTCTAAGTAAACGACAAAGCACAATATGGTGACCGCCAACTGCCACATAGAGAAGAGCGGTACAAGAGTAAAGTTCAGTGTAAAGGTTTACTGGTGTCACAGAGCTTTGAACAAAGCGTTTCTTACGCAATACAAAAAATTTTAAACTTCTATTCAAATTAACGATGAACTGTTCAAAACGTGTTACAAATGACGCGCTCAAAAAAGCTTAATGAATATTACGTTAATATTTCAGAGTGATAAATGCCCTTTCAAGGCGAACACTTTTAAATGCATTTTATTACGCTAAGGTAAATTTAGAAAACAAACAAATATCCTTTTAAAAAAAACAAAAAAAACAAACAAAACATTGGTTAACAATGGCATCCCTGATGCCTGATTTACGTTGAAAATTTTTAATGGTATCGACACGGATAGTTCACAAAATTCGTTAAAAAAAAAAAAAAAACAGCTGTAAACATAAACCTTTTAACTCCCATAAGTGACTACAACAGAATTTCTCCTAACAATATCCCTACAACATCAAACAGACAAGTGATGGGAATTAAGAACTAATATCAGTTACCGGAGGATTATTACTAATTGATCCAATTCAAAATTCTCCGAACTAACATCAAAGAATTGTATGGCAGACTATAAGGAGAATTACTAATGAGATCTTGGGAGTTAAAATGTTAATCAGCTTTCGTTTCTTCATTCGCTTTGAGCTGCTTACGTCTGTGCAGCCAGGTTTAGTTTATCAGACAAGTCATGAAATGTGATCAACAACACACAAGGTTATATCAAATTAGAAATATATTTTGTAAACACGAGATTAGTATTGAATCATTAATAACTACAGGAGATCATGTACTATTGGTCACCATAACTCGGATCATTCTTGGTCCATTTTAAAAATCTTCCTCTTCTTGAAAGGTCCTGGGGAAATGTATGGTTTTTTCTGAGCAATGAGTATACTTTATGAACCGCTGCACAAGAGGAATTTTTCATCCTCATTTTCATTTTAAGCATTAATCTGTTTTGTATAATCACTGCAGTAGATGTCAATTTTCTTTTACAAGGCATAAATTTTTCGAGTGAAGTTCGCTATTCAGTAACATGCGAAGAACATTTGTTCCAAAAATCTATATACATTACAAATAAACCACAGCTGCAGATAAAGTGAAAGACAGACGGAGTCATGAATACGCCCGGCAGAACATCAGTTAGAGTCTCATGTTGAATATGCAACGCCAATACATCAGTTTGGTGTGGGTCTGAGTGAAGCTGAACAAGTAAACAGAAAAATTCCTCTGTAGAGCGTAGCGCCGTTCTTTGAATGTCTCTCTGAAAGTTCTCTACAAAAGAGGGCCATGACGGAAAGCGTCTAAACACATACTTCGTACTTCTCCTTTAGTGCCGTTTCTTCAACCGGTTACCAAGCAACAAAACTGACAGTTTTAAAGTTATCAAAACAGGAATAAGTACAGGAGTACTTCTCAACTGGATTGCGTTTTTCAAATTTGAGTAAAAAGTTTCTCTACACGGATTAAAAGCGAATAAGTGCTTCTTGCGGCTGAAATGGAAACATGGTTTTCTTTGCTAACCATAATCTGTAATCAGTTATCTTACATCAGTGATATTTAGTTTAATGACAGCTTACAAAGAATCTTCGACTTCATCACCAGCGCAGCTGTTAATGATCTTGTTTTCGTGTTTGTTGACACTGCTTTGTCTCGGAAAATTAACAATTTTCTGCGCTTTTCTGAAAAAGCCGCATACCGATGTCTTGTGTATTTTTTTCTTTTTCTCTGTAGGGGTCACCGCCTAAGTCGCTTGTCTGTAATGCTGCAAGAATTCAAGTTAATGGACTAGATTTTAGTGTGGAGTTTCACAAGGAAAAATTAATGAATATGATAACAAATTATAATTTGCTACCAAGACATTAACTCACTACCGCCAGATGTTGCTTTATTTTGAATTTGTATGCGCAGTACAAGAGTTTTCGGAAAAAGAGGAAAATTAAAAATCGGAGAACGATAAGAAACGCCAACGGCTTTGTTTCTCGGTGAAGTTTGACAGTCAAATGGATTAGGCTTTATAGCTTCGGTGAACAAACTTTAGTGGTGTTTCGATCGTTAAACTAATTGCTATTTTGCTTTCTAAGCTGTATAAACAAACATAGCCTTAATCCTTTCATTTTCTTTATTTATTTGAAAAGAGAATCTTACGCAATTACAGTACATTTTCGATTCATTTTACTATCTTTTGAGGCCGACTGCGAACGCTTGTTATCAAGGTAGGTTTTACTTGTTAAAAGCGTTTATCAAAGTTTCCTCACCGAATGATTATATTTTGCTTGTCATTCGCGACCCAACTAAAAACGTGAGTTTGTTATGCAAATGATGCTAAAGGTTTCATTTCCCTTTCGTAAAATGTCACTGTTCTAGCCACGATTAATGGAAATACATTCACTTCGAACCGGATATTGTTTTGTTCCCTTGCACGGCAAATCGCTCGGGCGCCTTACACTCCAAATGCTTGGAGTTTTGCGTCAGTCTTCTTAAAATTTCCCCACAAAACAACCACGATTTCCAGCGAAGACTGGATTTGGCTTTGGCACTACGAGGTACTTTCTATTGATACAGGCTAAAATATTTAAAATTATTTATGTTATCGAAGAGAAATGGCATGCAACCTTCTTTCTCACCCATGAATCGTCGGTTTAAACAGATTTTCGTCGCTCCTCGTTTCTTTTTGGGAGTTTGTCAGTTGTGGAAAATCGAACGGGCACAAGTTAGGAAACCGCTGTGCTTTTACACTGGGTAATGAGTTCAAGAAATTGGAAGGTAAGTGGGTATGTGATAGACCTGCTTGTTTTCTACTTCTCCCCTTAGCAACCCATAGTTAAGTATGTTTGTCGCGCAGCTATATGGCTCCATGCTGTTTGATCTTGCTTCGTTTTTGTGCTAGCAGTTTTTTAATACGAAGTGTTACATCTTTTTAATCAAGAATGCCAAGGTTGAGCAAATAGTCCGGCTTTTCACGTATCAGCCCACTGCGTTGCTAAATAGGATAAATAGTCAAAATAGTTACAATTATTCTCAAAGACGTCCATATGAAAAGGTCCAAGTGAAAGCGTCTTAATCGTCTTTTTGTACTGTTCGTGCGTAAGTATCCTATTTTTATAGCTTTAAAAGGAAGCATTGGAGACAAGCAAGACATTTCTGGAAGAAAATGAGAATGTGAATTTCATTGCGAGTTTTCGAATCTACCAAAATGTCTTCAGGATATTTATACAACGTCGAGATTTCGCGCGGTAAAACATTTCAAAATTATAAAGAAAATAAACGAAGAAAGTAACTGCGCTTTAAACGACTAAAAAACAACTCAAATGGCGGTCGGCGTGCTGCGTCGCAGCCATTTACAGAACCCAAATTAAATATGCTTTCCGTAAAGAAACAGCTGCTGTGGTTTTCACATGCAAATGAATGTGAATCGAGCTACGAGTTTCTTCGAAAGAAAGTGTTTTCAGCATCTCATCAAAAGAAGGGATGAATAAGTTCGCTTCCGACTTTGACTTTAAAACGCAGTGGTGTATTCACTTGTACTGTTCTTCAGTGGTTGCAGTGACGATAATACAGACGAATTGTAAGAATTATGTTCCTTTACGCTATTAATTCACGATTCTTCCGCTGCGCGTCAATTTCACCGGGACTATGCCAAGATTTGAAGGTGCTTTAAATAGGGGGGCAGAACTCTCTTCTGGTTGCGACAAAAATATTATGTTAATTGAAAAATGTCGCTTTTAGGACTTAAATGCAATTATTTTTCCATGTTTCACCTTTTGGATCAAAATAATATGACAAGACAAGGGTATTAAGTGACGGCATTTGGGGAAACGTCATGTTTTTCATTCGATTTATCTGAATAATTCGTTTTCTCACAACTAGATTAAAATTAACCAAATTTAAGCTTCAGTTTTTCATGAAAGTGCAAATCAAGTATATCACAAATTTCTACCTCGGGTAAATATTTTGACTTCTTACACCTTAATGCACGCATCACAGAGAAAACTGATTGAACCAGAGTCTGGCCAGTTGCTATGGAAGCGGTTGGCTCTCATCCAGAAATAAATTTAAAACTGGTTCGTATTTTTCGGTCTCTTACAAAAGCGTTTTTTAAGGCTGAGCTTTCATTAGGTCTTATAAGGAAAAACTGCTTAACTTGTTTACAACAACACGGGCCACACTCTTAAAATAAGAAATGAGCTACTCAACCAGATTTTCATACTGATCCACATCTGATGTTTGTCAGTATGTTGTCTGTTCGTTAGAGGAACTGAAGGTATTTATTTTGGTCAGCTAGTGCAACTCTTCCCTTATGTGGTGTTTGCTAATCAACAACTACTTGCCGAATTGTTGGGGGAAAAGGTGGCTATGGCTATGTTTCAATCCATATTCAGGCAAAGAAGTAGTAACTCGAAAAACTGAGTTCGTATTCTTACTAAAAAAATGCTTCACCTCTTAGTCTCGGGCCGGGTATGATCGTATTATTTTCTGAACAACTGGATCAATTTCAGCCCCTTTGTTTTAAAAATTAAGGTCTTTATAGTAAGAAACAGTTACGTATCTATGTCTTAAGAGGTCATGGGCTTTTGGAATTGGTCTACAATTTAAAGAAAACTTTCCTTGCTAGCCAGAAGCACCGGAAAAATCCTTATAAATTTGGAAATTTTTGAGCACTGGAATGCAATTTTAGCGTTCTGATTGGTCCACTGAATGCCAGTTACTAGCTCAGACAATCTGATTGGTCCACTGAATGCCAGTTACTAGCTCAGACAATCTTTCAGATAGGGTAGTTTGACTACGAAAGGAAAATTACCAAGCTAGGCGTCGATTGACTTAATTTTCTTTCGATGGGAAACGTGTTCTGCGGAAAATGGACACCATTATACAAAACAAGCAACTTTGCCGCAAAGACGGTAAAACAGCAGTAAAAGCTACAAAACTCGGAATGACACTACTTAACAGTGGGTCCGGCTTTGGCTCTGGGTTTCTTTAGCAGATTGCAGCTATTTCTATTACTAAGAATGATTTAGATGGTCTTATCAACAACAAAAACTTACATGGCAGAGGTCTTCCCACCCACAGATGGAGGAAATGTTTTCTAAAGAATTTCATGCTTACCTGTGTATTTCCATGTGTCTACGAGGACTTCAGCTGGATGTTAGAAAAATTCCTGCATGAAACATGTAAGCATAGAAGCTGTCTTTGATCGTTTGGTTTGAAAAGCACTGCCCAGAAAAACACCTTCACTTGCAAAGAAGTAGCGTACGTCTCTTTGAGCTGATAGCTCGAACCCTAAGCCCTTCAGTGAATGCTTGCCTCAGTAAGAAGCTGTTACCAAGAGTGAACGTCGCACAAGTATACTTTTATCCGATGTTTTTATATAAAAAAGTGGACAAAGTCACTTAGCTTCAGCAAAATTCCATGCATCTCTGACAAAGCTGTCCTTGAAAATTGATTGCTTCATTCGCCCACAATCAGGGAGCCAAACATTTATCCAAATATGAACTTTTAAGACTAGAATGCATGTCTCTGGGAAAGACTGTGACTTGTACAAATGAACTTTTCATGGCTTTAAGGGTTGTTCACAGTATTTTTCGTAAAGCGTTGCTCATGTCATGTGATCATTTTATGAAGGTCGGAAGTTGCATCCGACAGCTGCCTCTCATACAACAAAGGCAGTGACTTTACTCTGTAAAAAACGATTAATACTTTATTACAAGTGTATTCAGCACGATAAGTAACCCCAAAATCTATTTGCGACTTAATAATAATAGCAAAATTTGTATAACTTAGCTGGATTTTCCTTTATGTTAAAATGCACATTCAGTAAAGAAAACACCATTTTAATCCCTATAAAATGGTTGGTTTGACATGGCTTTATTGCTGTTCGTATGGTCGCTAAACACGCTGAAAGTCTCCAAGGATTTTATGTGGTTCATTCAAAGTGTTGCTTTTCACCCGGCCCAATATATTTCAATTGCGCTGAGACAGAAAATACTTTTACGTTGCCTTGCATCTTTTTACCTTTTGATCATCATTATTTATGGTTATTTATTTGGACTGAAAGATAGTTTTGTACAGCCAATGAGGAAGCTCCGAGCAATGAAAGTGGGAATGTAATCCAGACAAAATCCATGTCAATGACAGCTGCAATAAAGCGTTACTGCCCATTTTCCTCCGCTTATTACATGATAACGTCAAGTTGTCATGATTGGAACAAGAAGCTGTCCATCTTCAGTAATACTGTACACAAATCATGAAAATTTTCCTTTTGAGCAGTTGTTGCGAAATCTCCCGTGTCAAACGTCTTACGCCTCTGAAGACCAGATAATTTTCCTTTTAAAAAGTTTGAAGTGTTTGTTTGAGCCACTAATCAAATCGGCTTTTGTTTAAAAGAAAACAGCCATGGAAATTTGTCGAGCGCGTGATTGGTTCACTAGTTGATTGTACCGGGGCCGATATATGACAATCTATGTTCACACTTCAGATCTTTGTCTATCAAAAGATACGATCATCGCATTACTTTCGAACTAAAATTGTTGCCATATAGACCTGAACCAGATTTCACGGCAGTGAACGAACACGGAGAGTGGAATAATTTTTTAAACAAGGTAAGGAAAAATAATTTTCGTTCCTTTCGTTTCCATTTAGAAATGTTTACATAAATTTATAATCAATGTATTTGCATCCATAACCGGCGTAAAAATCGGCCACGGCTAAGAAACTTAAAGCGAGCTGATTTTCCACTTTTTTGAGCGGTCTATTAGTGCATGGCGAAAATAAAACGATAACTGGGAATATCGTTATTTAAACGAGTTGTATACCTCGAAAGGTCGCCGCGCCACAATAAGAAACCCATATATACATTTTTTAAAAGCTCTAATGTATCAGAAAAAGGAGCAAAAGAAAGTTTGAAAAAGACATATTCAACAAGGACATACAAATAATTGGAAAACCATCATAGTTCTCTAAAACTGAGAATTAGGATTTAGGACTCGGTTGATAATTTGCTCCAGATATTACATTTTGTCAAATGTGCTGAAGGACGCTTCTCGCTAGTCCCTTACCGAAGAGATAATTTACTTCGCTCCATGTTCTGTCCTTTTATTTGAGGATTACGGGTGAAAAATCAAGATTGCAGCAAAATCTTCGCAAATACCTTGCCGATCATAAAATTTATGATGGTTTTCCTTTGTTGCTGTGGTGAGAAAAATAGGTTTTGCTCTCTGGTCGCTTCGTAATCGTTATCTTTAGAGTAAATACGATGAAAAATGTTTCCCATTTTATGTATGTTGAGGATTGTTCGTGGCTTTAGATTCGTTCGAGATAAGCCGCTCGGTATTAGGGCGTCTTTGTGGCAGCATGGCTTGAAGCAGATGTTTTGCAATTAAAGCAACTTTTGACTAACGCAACGTAATTATCTTTGATTAAAACCAATCGGCTAAACAAGGAAGATAAATTGAAATTAGTTAGCGCTGAAGACTATACTCGGTTCTTTTGTTTGGGTTTTTATTGTTGCGTAAGCCTGGTATTGGAAATGTACCATTTGCCGATAAAGCATTTGCAGAAAAAGGGTGGGAATCTTCTTGATTAAATATTAATTTCCCTTTCTTCAGGCAAAAGAATAAGTGATTCCTTTCACTCGGCGAACAATCTGCGATGTTGAGGATTTATGCGAACAAAGTCGACGGCTGAGACGAATTTTAAATTAAATTTCGATTTCTAAATTGTCCAATTTGCTATTAGTACGTCTGTCCTTTTATCGGACTATAAGGTTAGTTCTGATTTCTATTGTTGTGCTTTTTTGCTTTATTTTGTTTTATATATATATATATATATATATATATATATATATATAAACGTAAAAAACCTTATCCTTGAATCGGAGAGTGCTCTACAATCATGGAGCTTTGTAAACAATTATTTAGGAAAATAAAAATTAAAACTTCGCACTACAGATCTGTTTCGAAAGGGTTAAAACTCCTCTCTCGTCAGGTGGATATATATGTATATTGTATATATATTGTACGTATATATTGTACGTATCATACACGATCCTCGCAGTAGAGAGCGCTATTTATGCAATAGCGAAAATCAGACCTGGAAAAAAATCAGGCCTGAACGGAATTCGAACCACTGACCTCTGCGATACTAGTGCAGGGCTCTACCAATTGAGCTAACAAGCCAACTGGGAGCAGGCCATATATATATATATATATATATATTGTGTTGCGTTGTGCTTCATTTGGTCAATGAATCAATTTGCAATCACATGTTGTACGAAACTTTTCGCTTCTCCAGGAAAAAACATATCTGCAAATTATTGTCCTATGGATAAACATGGTGAAAGGTTCTGGTTGAAAATTATAAAATGACATTTTCTGTCTGCCTTTTGATGAGCGCTACGACACCTGCATTATGCACGGCGTTGTTTATGAATACTTTATTTTATTTAAAACAAATAATTGATCAGTGAAGGCAATCGAATTTTAGATAAACAGAAGAGGACAAAAATTGACTGTCATCAATTTTTTTCTTTGCTTCATGTGACACAGATAAATTGGATGACGTCGAATAAAAATTTTCTAGTTGGATTCGAGTATTCCTAATTGCGGTTGTATAAGCTAGCCAAAAAACATCTTGCGATCTTTTTTGTTTCAGTTTGAAATTTTTCTGCATGGATCGTGCGCAAAATCTTTTTACAACAACGCGCTGTTTAATGCCTTTAAAATTTTACTTTTATTATTTGCCTGAGTGCCACCAAGAGGTTTTTTCTCCATGAAACTCAAAATATTTTTCATTTTCCTTAGAATTACAAATGTGTTGAGCTTACGCACCTCAGTTGTGTTTAGCATTACAGTGGAATCCTGATGTCTCGAATCAAACCTTGTTTCCCTTGGATTTGCTTCACTTGTAATTTCACCTCCGATTTCTCGAACTCCCGATTTCTCGAACCAATTTGCGTTTCCCCTGGAGGTTCGAGAAATCAGGATTCCACTGTATCTACCTATGGAGCATTCCAATTTTCCTAACAATGTTTAGATTCACCTTAAATGACAGAGCTTCCTCAGCGAATAGTGTTCTTTGCAAACCTTGAACTCTTCGAACACGTGGTGCATGATCAATCGATCAAAACCCAAGGCTACAAGTGACGTAACTGCGCAGGAAAACGAAAAGCGCGTGGCAAGCACGGCAGCTAAGCGTGGCATAAATATGTAGCATGCAGAAAGCTATGGAAGAAATTTCAATTACTGTGTTAGTTGTCTTTAACGTACATAAGTGAAAATAATGGGACTTCTCTCGACGTAAACCAAGTTTCACTCGCACAATTGACTAATTGAATATCTTATTTTTCAGAGTGAATCAGTGCAAAGCAGAAAGGCTGATGCATCATGGTATTACGACTTCAGTGAACCAATTGAGAACGACCGCGCAAGGGTAGGTCTCTTGAGAAAACTCGTCATAGCAGTATCCATGCTTTTTGTAGCATAATAAACATGCATGGATTTCCAGTAACAGGGGCGAGATTTGCTTAACTCTTTTACTTCCGAGAAAGAATGGTCGAGTAATAATTTCTTCCTACAATATCAGTACCCTACCAAGCAGACATGTGATAAAAAAAAACAAAAAAACAAAAAAAAAAAAACAGAATAATCTGTGGAATATCATCAGATAAAACACCACATTCTCAGAATTAATCAACATTATAAGAAACGTATGACAGACAGCAACGAGAATTAATATAGAGATCTTGTGGGTAAAAAGGATAAAAACGTTTTGCTGCTTTGGAGGCCTATTGACTGTTTCAGTATATTCAGAAAGTATTGCAGCCAAACGTAAAACCGTAGCACCTTTTTTAGCTTTTTTTTCCCCAGTGCAAGATACCAACGTCGCGACATGATCGCCCTAAAATTGTTATATAAGCATCGTTAAAAATAAGTACCTGCATAAAATTAGGAAGTAACTTCTGCTTCTAGGTTATGTGCATCTGATTAGAAATAAATAAATAAATAAATGAATTGGGTTTTATGGAATTCATAGTTGTTCGTCCCTTTGGAAGCGAAATATTTGTATTTTTTTTTTTTTTTGGCTAGCTCACGAAAATTTTGAAAGTGAACCGATTTCAATTCCTTTTTTTCATTCAGAGCACCAATACACAGCTTGAAATTTATCTGACTGAGACGAACATCAAGAAAGCCACTCTTGAATTCGAAGAAGTCACACGGGAACCAATATTGTCGAGACGGAAAGATTACTGCTGTCTCTGCTGGTGTTTCTGTTGCTCGTGCGACTGGTACTGGTAAGTGGCTTTCATTGTTTTTGCGCATCTGTAGTCTGTGTAGAAGATTTTAAGAGGTGGGCGGTACAGATCTTTCCTCAGTCAAGTGTGCTTTATTTTCTGGTCAGCGTCGTTTAACTGCGGAAACAGCGGTAAATTTGTGAAGTGATTAAAATCAAACAAACGAACGCTCGTTTCCATTGATCTCATAGCCTCGTTCCCAGGAATTCTCTTCTCCTGCCTCTCTGACTTGGTCGCGTCAAAGTAACATCGACTCTACAGGAGGTAACACCTTCGGATTTCTTTTATGAAGTCGTCACGTGTACAGCCCGATTGTACCGGAAGTTGATAAATGTAAGGTGATTTGGCGAAACAATTTCGTTCTTACACAGTCTGGGTGATATTCATGTACTTTGTGTAATCCGATGGAGTTTGACTTATTCATTTCCAAGTGTAAATTTCAGTAACCAGGCGATTTTGTGAAAATTAATCGCATATTCATTACATTCTGGAGTTATATCAAGCCTACTTTGTTAATAATTTTCTCCATTCTTGTTACCTGCCTTTGATAATGTAAGAATAACTTACATACCGATCACTCCTGGGAGACAAAAATCTAAAGATTTGCCTCCAATATAAATGATGCATTATCTCTTAAGTTAAACATAGCATTTAGGACAAGTTTGACGACCCCCTCTACCCTCCTCGGGATGTCATCATGTATCGCGTTTTGCAATTTTTTTTTTTAAATAAACACACTGTGAAGAAACTCTTATGTTAGGGCTTGATAGAGAAGCGGAACTAGCTGCAGCTAACGTTTAGCTCAGGTCGGCAAAGCTTTCTTAAAACTAATTGTGATGTCTTACTTCCAGTGCGTAGATGTTAGTCCCAAGCGTGACCTCCGTTCGGTAATGTTTACGATACTTGCATGGATACAATGCCGAATACAATAAATATGCGATTAATTTTCACGAAATCGCACGATTTCTGCAATTTACACGTGGAAATGAGTAAGTCGAACTCCATCGGATTACACAAAGTACACGAACATTACCCAGACCGTGTAAGAACGAAATTGTTTTGCTAAATTACCTTACATTTCTCAACTTCCGGTACAATAGGGCCGTACACTTGTACTTGACGTATTCGCAAAAGAAATCCGAAGATGTTACCTCCTGTAGGTCGATGTCACTTTGACGCGATCCTTTAGCTCTAGTTAGGGGAAGTACGAGAGACCCTGGTATCGAAGTTTAGTGATCGGGTTATCGGAATCGGCAGAGAATAGCCTGCAAAATACTTGATTCAAAAATTTAACTTCAAGAAAGTTCCGCTTATCATTAATAATACTAGTTTTACCTTTATTATCCTATCATTATCACGATTCTTATCATTTTTTATTGTTACTGACGCGAGAAATGTGCAATGTAATAAAGGCAGTAGATACAACTTCTTCAGTTAACACCAGCCCAACAGTTAAAATCGCAAATCGTCAGGGTAAATTTTAATGTTATGGCCTTCTTCCGATGTTATTATCTGATAATTACTAATGTTATACTTGAACTTTGCCGATTTGAAGGTGTTCAATACACGCCGTATTAATATCATGAATTAAGTCTCTAATTTTCGTTCGCCTTTCTCCGTTAACCGGTAATGTCTTCTAATAAATATGGGAGCTTAAACTTCCATGAATAGTTACATTCAATGAGGAAAAAGTGCTTTTCTCAATCTGTCGGTAGGGGATCGCTTTATTTCATATTTAGCGCGGATTTTCAGTGAAAAGAGTTATTGTTAAATCTAATCGCTAATTCTAACAGTTCAATTTTGTTTTCATATGATAGTGGATAACTTATCTAAAAAGGTAAAAAGATAAATTTAAAGTAATAAATTTTACCCATTGGTTATACTGTCGAAACGAGAGGCTTAGATGGGGCGCTTTTTTAGTTTAGACACCAGACACCGTCTGTACAAGTAACAGTAGTAAGCAATTTATTTTTCTTTTCAAGATTTAAGAGCACGAGTTTCCTGGCGCCAGAGTACTTTCTCGATTTTTTTTAACGACTCACTTTTCCGATAATTAAAAGCAAATGTTCTGACAGACTTATTTCTCGGCCATTTCTTTTAGAAATTACTCTGACTAATTTCAAAGACTTGAAAGCATTGTTAATTCAGAGTTGATAATTACTGACGTTATATTTGAACTTTGCCAATTTGAAGGTGTTCAATACACGCCGTATAATATCATGAGTTAAGTCTCTAATTTTCGTTCGCCTTTCTCCGTTAACCGGTAATGTCTTCTAATAAATATGGGAGCTTAAACTTCCATGAATAGTTACATTCAATGAGGAAAAAGTGCTTTTCTCAATCTGTCGGTAGGGGATCGCTTTATTTCATATTTAGCGCGGATTTTCAGTGAAAAGAGTTATTGTTTATCTAATTGCCAATTCTAACAGTTCAAAATTTTTGGCTCGATAAATAAGATACCAAAATTCCCGATTATATTTAGTTGCTGAAACCTATCTGTAAGCTAGAACTAAATATTTTTGAAAAACATCAACCAACTAAATTTTAAACCTATAATGAATATTGCGGATTGGGTCTCGTTGCACATGACAGATTCCCACTTACAATGATAAATGTAATTTATGTATTAGTCTTCTTTGTGGCCTATTTCCATTAATAGTCCAAATACTTTGAGCGCTCTGCTGGCAGTCCAGATATTATTAATTCTAAAAAAGGCATGAAATCTGCTTTTCAAATCGTTTTATTTTTTAAGAGGATTTCGAAGGACTTTCAAACTAAATACAATTTTAAGAAACCTTGAACGGTGAATGCTAATCGGGGATTTAATTTTAATTCCTCATGGATATAGATTTCATGGCAAATATTGGGCTTCCAAAACTTTGCATGTGAAAAAGAATATATTCAGTCTACGGAATTACACGAAAATCACCGCTGGATGCTTTGATAATCGTATTTTTTTTCACAAGTGTAGCATTCATTATAATTGCGGTCAAGGTTTCGTGCGTGTTAGCCGTCGTAAAAAATAAAACAAGTCGAGAGTATTTTGCTCTGAAATGTAAATCTGACAACCGCAAACGCGACAGTTTCAGCTTCGCCGTACGCCGAGATAGAGGTTTGGTTCGGTGTAAGTCGCTGTTTTTCATGTCGGAAGATTGTGGTATTTAAGGCTTGACCTATACGTGCTTTTTCTTTTCTTTTACCTCACCAGCCCCGCTCGCCGTTTCAGAGTTGGAAGCATGGAGACAGCGAAAGATAACAAATACAATCCCAAGTAAGACTGAACTAAACATGAATATCCGTTCTCGTTGTTGTTGTGTAAAACTGACTAACTGCCGGATGTCAGTGAAACTTGATGTATTTCAATATGGAGAGAACCGCGTCATTTCAGCTGTATTTAACCGAAAACTTACAAATATATTTTGATATGCACGATATTCTAGCTCTTAAATTTTAAACTGGATTAGTAGCAGTAACATTTTCCGGATTATTGAAGCTGTGACAAGCAAATGACGTCGATTTCATTTTGGGCAAAACCCGTTGATAGCCAAAACCGCTCTTGAAATTTAATTCTTTGCTTCTAGATGCTAACTCAAAAATACAAAAAACTTCTCGTAATATTGAGCTGCGAAAGGCCTGTTTTCATGTGGTGGTCTTCTTTACTCGCTGTTCCCTTTGATTTGGTGTTAAGTTTCGTTCACGAGGTTACGATCAGAGCACACTATTCGTCCTACATAAATCAGCCATCTGTAGTTGCGAAATGAAATTGACTTTCCGCCTTCTGGAAAGTTTCCTTTTTCTTTTATTGCAAGACGCAGCTGTAATTATGGTGGAGAACCAAATATGTATTTTGGTTTAAACAGGAAATATTCAAAAGGGGTTGCACAATTTCACTTCCGAGAATGCCACTATGCCAGTCAGGTGAACGAAATACGAGTCGAACCGGCGCTCGGGTCATTTTACGTCAGACATCCATCGAGTAAGTCCCTTCGTCAGATAGTTCAGCTCGTTCGCGCAGTTTTCTCGTTAGTTTTATTGGTCTGGACTTTTCCTTGCAATCCATATTTGTAGCATCCAATATAGCCAACACTTTGGAGTTCTTAAAAGGTTTCTGAGCGTGATCCAGGCCGTCTCTCTTGCGGGTTTTCGTTACTTTCGCTTCGATGCAGTTGGGCTGTATTTGTCTGAATGGAAATGGAAGGTTTGGCGATGCCAGTGGGTACGTTGCTCAATGTTCACTTTCTCTTACCTTTTTTATCATTCATTATGGTAGAGACCCCGCAAGATAAAGGAATAATGTCAAAAGCTAGAGTATGCATTTCATGGTGCACATAGAAACAACTGGCTCGAAGATATTTTAAGGAGGACAACTAGAACTGAAATGAGTTAGACTGAAACGCGAGTGGATTATCACGGAACCCGTTTGTCGTCATTGTTGTGTTTTGAAATCTTCTGCATTAAACGTGATGCTTAAACCGAATGTGTTGGAACGAATGCTCGGTGAACCATTAAATGGTGAACAAATTACCATTTCTTTGAAAAGCGAATTTGAAAAGTAAAGAGTACTGCTTTTATATTGTCAGTGAAGATTCACTCTTAACCGAATTTAATCACGCACTAAGGAAGTGATACGCCCAAGGACCTCTGCATCTCATTCATGCACACTAGTATTTAATTACCAAATCCTACGGTTTATCCGAGGTGTATCCCTTTTCAAAAGGTACACTTAACAGCTCTAAATTCTTACTCGACGGCTAAAGGCTTTTTTTCGAAAGCGGGTATCGGACTGTTTTTACCGCCAAATCTACCGTGATTAATTTAACTTACCGTCCGGTGGTGTCTGTCTGGAATGCACGTCTTACTTGGCTCATTATTTTGACTACAATCGACACGTGAAGTGGTTAATATAAATTTCCTTTGGTCGCTATGCCTTAGGCAGTACGTTCCTTTTCATTTAATTGCGTTATCATAACGCAATTAAATGTATTGTTCACACTAATCAGGAAATATAAACGCGAGGTCTTCTCTCACGATTACAAGACATCGCCATCTTAGATATACATGTCCAAAAAGACAATGAATGTCATCACATCGGGTTTAATGCACTGCTGTGGTTTTACTGATTTAGATTTTATTAAAACTTGTGTGTTTCCAGACTTTGCCTCAATTCCGAAAGCATTTTTCTCTTCTTTGCAATACTTATCGTGTTTATATCACTTACAATACACCGCTGACTATTGATTGACAGCAGAGAAAGTTACAGTATTATACCATTACAACTAAAATACTTGCCTCACTTTGAACGATACGTTTTTAAAAAGAAGTTGTATACCTGTTGACGTAGCCGTTGTTTTGATTGTTTAATTTTACTTCTCTGTTCCTAGACCTTCCAGAGAAGAAGTTCAAGAATGGGGAATAAGCTTTGAGAAATTACTCACAAGTAAAAGTAAGTTGCGTAGCAATTTTTGCGGAAACCATGCAATTCGTTGCATTTACATTATAAGACAACAGCAAAACAATAAGTAAGACAAAGGCAATGTCTTTCTCTCATATTTACCGTAGGCTTCCATGTACCGTATACCCAAATTTGTTCTTGCTCTCCATATTTAGACATTCACCTGTAGACTCTTTTGCAGCCGTTCCTTTCACGCAACAAACAACAACCCCTCCCCCTCCCCCCATCCTATGTCGGTTACGTAATGATCCCCAATAAAACTGCTACATATACCGCTGAAATGGGAGCCTGTTTCCTCTCTAACATTTTGGAAATAGGTTATGTGATATTGGAAATCTTTCTCGCCCTGTTCCACAAATTGTGCAGTAGATAGAAGCTAACACTCTTTGTGCATGTTACATGTGCTTTATTGTTAACATTGTATAAATAACTTTAAAAGTGCCAGTCATCGCGTGACTCGGGTAGCGACCCGGAATTTGTCGTATCTGTGAAATCTCGGCTGCCAAGTAAAAACATCACGTAAATTTAGTGACCAGTGCCGAGGGATTTCCTACTTGTTAAGTGAATGATAAGCTGAGCTGCACTGACCGTCAATCTCTTTCTTTAAGCTGGGGTAAAAATTTTCCACGACTTTCTCAAGTCCCAGTACTCAGAGGAGAACTTATTGTTTTGGCTCGCAGTGGAGAAACTTAAAAAAGAAACAGATCAGGCGACTTTCAAAGAACTCGCGCAGTCGATTTACCGGGATTACCTATCAGCGGAGTCACCAAAAGAGGTGGGCAATATAAAGTGTGGTTCATGTACAATGACTTCAAAATGCCTTCAAGTTGGCGAAAAGGTTTATGACGGATTTTGCGTAAGTAATCTTTTAAGAAATGAGAAGTTTGCAGATTTGAGGCTGGTATAAACATCGAATTTTTTGCGGGACTTAGGTAAGTTTTTAATTGGCTTAATTGGGTGCTCAAGCAGCTTAGGGCAAAAGGACATTATAAATGTCAAAGATAATGTGGATTTTAACGTTAGGAGATTTTCCATAGGAAAGCCTGCCGATCTTCAACATGCAGCGGTCATTTCGAGTCCCCTGAATAAAAGCTTTGTTTTAGCACGCTCTTACTCGTTTTTTACTGCAGGACTAGGCATGTGGTTAAAGCTAAAAGCTTCCTATTTGTGTAGACTAAACTCGGCCACCGAAAGATAAAGCTCAACTATTTGTGTTACAGTTTATTATTGTTTGGAAACAATAATCTGAAACACATTAAGGAAGGGCAAAATATTGATGGTTTCTTCAATTTGTTCTTCGTTTTAAGTGAAAACTCATATGCCAGAAAGATAGTTTTGGGGTTGGTTGTTTGTCACATGATCTCGTATCACAGACAAACACGCCACGTGATAGCGGCAGCCGCGTTGTAGTGGCGCCAGACTGTCGATTGGCAAATCATCAAAAGAATATCAACTGTTTGTACTCTCTTGTGATCGCTGATTGGTCTGACGTACCTCTTCCTGGTATCGGCGAGGTGACAAGGCAAACGTAATTGTATGACTAATTGCATCACTGGCTCCGCGATTGGGCAAGGAGAAGCGAATTCTGTTTTCTGATTGATTACCCGAACGGAAAACATGAGCTTATCTTGCCTGTTCCACCCCCCCCCCCCGAACGAGGCGGCCTAATGTCGGGCATGCGCAAGGTGGTCAATTTCGGCCCGCACGCGCGCCAATTTTTCCTCCTTTTATACATATTAGACAACGTAGCCACTACACAATTCGCACATGCGCAGAAAATGGCCACTGCGTTCTCTTTCTCAAGCAAAGCTGACCTGTATTGACGAAGATGTAGGTCATGTTATGCTCTCATTTGCTCTTATTTTATCTACCCCACTCATTACTTTTTTGATTTCGCCTCCCATAGGTCAGTATCGACCACAAGACTCGCCAGCACATCGAAGAAGTCTTGGAGGAACCCGACCAAACGGTGTACGACAATGCTCAACGTCACGTCTATTACGTCATGTACCAGGACTGTTACCCAAGATTCATTGTGTCTAACGTGTTTAAGGCGCTTCTTATCAGCAATGACTGATCATGTGATCTAAGACAATAGCTTACTTTCTCTAGAATAGATTCGACGAAAAATGACACGAAGTTAGATTAATATAAAGCTAGAGATACTTTCCTCATCGTTTTTCTCCGTGATTACGTCTGCAGTGATGTCAAGATTCCGAGAAAGTGGAGGGACATTTTTTATAAAACATAACCGATGAGACCCGACGTGGCCTTGTCGATCATGTACATAGAAGAAGAAACAAGAGCTTCATGCGAATTGTTAAATAAGTAAATTGAAAAGTGCTTTTAGTGAGAGCAAGATCCAATGAATTTTAAGGGCGTTAAACGTTCGTTGTGTTAGAGCCCACCATATAGATTTAGTTTTGGGTTTTAAAGGGCGCGTCCGAGAGGCGCAAACCAAAAACTTATCCGGCATCGCTTTCCTTTGCTTCTGCGATTCCCACAAGTTTCTACCGGTTTTCTGTTTTAACAAATATCAACCTTAAAAGTGTGTTCCCCAATTTAATGACATTTTCAGGATAGCTCCGATAAGAGAACAAGGCAAAAAAAATGTAGTTATCATTAAAAAAAATAAATAACTATGACTCTTGTGCTGAATGTTTTTTTCTTTTGTTATTCAGTTTGGTTCTCAGCTTTTTTCTCTCTGTGGGAAAGAAAACCTGAGGTATCATTTTCTTTCATCGTCTGGTGTAGTCCCAAAAAAATTTCTTGTTTTGAAGACTGGAGCGAAGCTTGATCGCGGAAAAAAGATTGTCAGATCTTGCTATTTGACTTCACCTCACGCGATGATAGTAGATGGCCCAAGTGCGTCACAAAAAAGTGCGCGTCTGACTATGGCAGAAGTTGAAACAAAGAGACTAGTAAAACGGTGAGCTTCAAGATATCAAGAATGGCTTATGAGAATATAGTTGAGCTGCACTTCAAAATTATGTCTGTATTATAGTATATAGAGCAATAGAGCACATGTTCCATTTAAAATAAAATCATAAAAGAAAGACATTAGTAAATGGAAAGTTGCCATTCACCAGCTGTGCTTTCCGCCCGTGGGGCATCAGGTCGAGAGAGATAATTTTGGCGTATTTAATGACGTCGGGTATGATATGACGCGCGTGGGGAATAACCATCCTGACAGGCATATGGTGCACATGATGATTTTTCAGTTCACTCCAGATTTTTACCTTTCCACGGTAGATCATTTCAGGATTAGTTTGTTAAGGATGCGCTCAAGTATTCAGTGTTTCAGCTCTTTCAAGTAGTTGCTTACCCCTTGTTCTCGATGTCTTTACGTCCGATCATGTTTAAGCTGAGATAGTAATAACTAAAAGTGTCAGCATAGAGTTATTTATATACGTAGTTCGTGATCACAAGGCGTACGCATGACTTTAGCGCTTAGAGTTTTGGGCGCCTGTGGATTGACCCATATGTTTATCAGAGAAATCTATTTTCAGGTTGCATGATCTCGATACGAGTTGGTAATAACCAAAAGTGTCAGCATAAGGTTACCGTTATTTATATTCACAGTTCGTGATCACAAAGCGTACATATGACCTTTGAGCTTAGAGTTTTGGGCGCCTGTGGGTTAACCCATGTGTCCATCAGAGAAATCTGTTTTCAGGTTGCATGATCTCCATAGATCCATGACAGTGCTTGTGAAAAGCAAGAATAGTTCAACCACCACACTTACGGGTAACGTAAAGAATAGACTTAACGCACCACTTATTCGTGTAATCGGTAAAGGTCTACAATGTTTCCGTCACTATTAAGTCTATTTGTGTTCGATTTACATTCTCAGTATGGAGACCATTTTCCCCGAGATTGACTATTTCATTTCAGTTGCCAATTTGAAGAGGCTCTCTTCTCCTTTTTTTATGATTATGTATGTGCATTTCATTTCTTCAATTCTCAAAAATTAAAATTTCTCGGCTGAAACAAGAATTGGCTCATTAAATAGATGCCTTTTCTACTTCCCTAGATCATTAGCTTATTCTCCCTCCTGTTTAAGCTTCTCTCCCCTTTAACGTCTCCCTTTCTCTATCCCTTCTGTGTCTTCCCTTTGCTCCAAAAATTGCAGTGGAAGCCACATGGCTCACAAAAAAATGGAATAAAATTCAATAGAACAGAAAGGCAGTTGGATACAACTGGTGTTTTGAAGGGAGATGTTATTCAGGTATATAAATATACATACCCATATAAAATAAATATATACTGACCTAAATTGAAGGCCTTGTATGGGGAGGTATGATTGCATTAAATCAAACCATTCAGAAAGAAACATGTGTTTCAAACAAGAGAACCCTAGAATTTCAGTGAATACATAACAAATAAAATTTATAAAGGAGGTATTACATATCAAAATAAAGCAACATACCCTGGAACCAAGAAGTAACAATTTATTGAAATTTAGAAACATTCTTTGAAAATTTTCATTACAAACATTTTTCCCCTATGATAAACTTTTCTGTCCTGCATGGAGACAGCCTACTTTATAAAATTTTATTTTATCTGTTGCACATTAAACATAGGACTCATTAAGTTGAATTGAAAGTATGATTTCCGGGCTGCATTGTGTCTAAAAAAGCATCAATCCCATGTTTCCCATTAACAATGGTTTGAGCTGTATGTTTCAATTTTATAAAATAATCTAAGTTTTCATTAGAACTACAGCATAAGCTACAGATCATTTGTTTTATGGCAAACCTCTCCAACAGTTCCTAGAGCCTGCTTGCAAGCCAAAAAGGCATGGTGAAATTAATAATGGACAAAAAAAAAAAAAAAAAAAAAGCTAAACCCACAAGAAACACTAAGTGCTTAGTGGGCCACACAGGTAAGGGCAAGCATTCCTAACACTGTACCATTTCCTAAATCATTCTTCTGTAATATAATGATAGACCAACTTTTATCAAAAGCAAATGTTGGACATTTGGCTTTAGAAATCCAGCTCTAGAGATGGAGTTGATTTACAACTCAGCCTTAAAATAATCTTCCACAGGCACCATAGTAGCACCCCCAAAAATGTCAACAAGCCACACATCTGTGATGACAAGCTTTAGTGTCTGCCAGCCTGGAAGAAAAAAAATAAGTTCAAGAAATTGATTCCATTGCTGTGCCTTTTTTCAGTAAGAGATAACAGATGATGTCAAAATGTGGTAAGAATAAAGAAAGTGCCACCCAAATTTTGGGAACTCACCGTGACCCTTAGGCCATGTTTTCATCACAGGATGTCTCGAAAAGAGGGCATCTTGTGCAAATTTTTCTTCCTCAGGACCAACATGGACAAGCTGCAATGATTGCAAAGGAAAATGTACAACCCTTGTATCACATTTGAATTGGATGAAAAATCTGGGAAACCTTTGATCTCATAACCACCACCCCAGCTACCTTTGAAAATGGCCTGTTAGCTCTGACTGAAGATCTGATTAGAAATTCTATCTTCTTGTAGATATATGCTTTTCCTTGTGATTCAGTTAAGAGAATGTCACCTCTTCCCTACATAAAATGCTGAACTTACCTATTGATAACTACTAGTGGTATAAGAGATGGGAGATATACCTTTCCAATAAGAGTCACTCTGGAGCAAAGAGGACTTTCAGGATCCCAGTCATGAGCGTTGCAGTAATCACTCTGAGCCTCTGACAGCGCCAAGCTGGAAAGCTTGTTGGCCTCAATGTTTTTCTCTACAGGGTCATATTTTGCCACGTAAAAGTATGGTACACCTGTACTGTTACTGACAGTGCCATCACTAAAGGAAACTGCCATTCCAAAAGGTACTCCAACCATTGATACAGAAATGGTTGATATTGATCCCCAGTCAGTGTTGTGCACAATGTACCTTGCTACATTAGGGAATGGAGAAAATAAGAATGAACTTGACAATAAAACAACCTTTCCTATAACCCTAATTTGTCTAAATTTGACAAAATGACTGTGTATTAAGCTTTCATGAAAACATAATCTAGGCAGCGCAACTCTATGCTGGCCTCTTAAATATAAAAAGCAGCAAACCACAAAGGGTTATGCATCAAAGTTGCAGTAACTGACACAGAGAACTGGCAATTAGAAATACATTTTTCACCCAAACTGATAAGGAGCACATCATCTTGGTGAAAAACTTAACTCATAACAAAGACACTAAGTCGTCAATTCAGAGCTTTCATACAGTCTGATTGCTGTTGACTTTAATATTCACCTGTTTTTGCCTTTTCAGATCTTGGAGGTGGATCATACAGAGATTCAGACAAAGGCCGAGGTTTAAACACAGGAAACATCTTTGCATGCCGGTGTTCCTCTCTCATCCTAAAGTTGTGCAAAATTTTGTCATCAAAACGTTCTCCAGGCCTAATTTGTCTGACACGGGCTTTGTACCCTGAAAGAGAATAGAAATTGCTTGATTTGTTCACCCCAATTTTTCCTCCCATAATTTAAAATCTAAGATATAGCCGTGGCTCCTTAAAAGATACTTATGCATTGCCCATGAAGCAATGGGTATTAATATTCAGCAGGGGTGTGTGGGGGGAGGGGGGATTAATAAACAAGTTTTACAGGTAATGAAAACATCCGCTTGTCATCAGTTTAAACAGCAACTCTTTCCTCTTATTCCACATATAGGACTCTGCTTGTCATGCTTCATCGTTTCTTAAGCACTTGACCTATTTTTAGCCCTCATCAAAGAATTGCGTCAAACGGTAAAGCTGCACATAGCTTTCTGAGTAATTAATTCTTCAACATCATCAACACTCGTCTAGCTTATCCATGTTCCTTCGATTTCGCTCAAAGTACTCTGACAGAAAAATGAATTTAAAACCGTTTGAGACTGGAAAAGGTATCAACTAGGTATCGCATCAATAGCTATGAAAGGGGTATTAAATAAAATACTATGAATAAAGTCGAAACAAACCCTTCGGAGAAACAGATGGTCTGTGGAAACCTGACTTGAGTGGAGAGAGTCGACTTTAAATCTTTTAACAGCGTTTTTTCTATATAATGTTTTCCAAATCCCAACATCCGTTAGAAAACCGATAAACTGCAATTGGAACACGATCGAATCTCTATTGGAGATCCGCCGGTGAAAGGTCGAGGGGCGATCGAGCAAACCGACAAATTACTCGTACGTGAAAGGTAGTCATAACTTTCCGCTTCAATTCTTTCTTGTTAATCGAACGTACAGAAATACTAACAAACCTGTATCTCGTGAAAATGATTGCTCGTCGGTGCTTGGATTGTGAAAAGTGACCGCAGACAAAAAGACACCCAGTATCACCATGTACGCCAGGGCATAGCAAACGAAACTACAGATATGGCCGGAATCTTCGCCGTTACTTTCGTCTTCCACATCAACATCGGGAAATGGAGCTTCGATTTGGTCCTTGCTCAAGAGCTTGACCTTATCCTCTTTAGTGCACATCACGAAGAGCGCAAAGGGGTAAGCTGCGTTCTGTTATCTGCAGCGCTTTGGTCTCAGCCGGAATCTTTCAAGTCTGGGTAGTCTTGTGTTTCCAAAAACATTTAATATTAACACTTCAGTTCATTGGTCAAAGTCTGAACCAATCAACAACGACCTCTTTATAGCAACCGAGAGGCGTCATGGGTAATGGTAACTAAAAACATGGCGGATATCAACGCTAACAACTTTGGAATGCTAATTTTGAAGTTGTTTCACTCTTTCTAGCCCTATTGTAACCGAATCTACACTGACATACCATTTGAACTACTAACTGGCCTTTAGCTGTAATAATCTGACAATGCAAGAAAAAGCGGAGAATTCATGCAGGAACTGTTATTGTCCACTTGACTACAACTAACTTTCGGGATATTCCTATTTGTGCTTTGGACATTTTCATTTTTGGCATAGAAAAATATTTTCTGCAATGGCAGAGGACTTGGCAAGCTTCATTGAATCTCAGAAGCGAAAGCTTGAACAGGAGAGGGCCGAAATGTCGCGGTCTCAAGAGACCGAGGTAAAAAGTGATATTTTGACGACAATTAATTTACTTAAGTCTAAACTTCTATGTTTCACATTAACTGTTTTTTAATCATCATATAGATCTGCACGTTATTGATGAGAAGACACTGTTCATGAGGGTCATGATTTTTAATGATGATTTTACCAATAATATTTTGTTCACCAATTTATTGACACTGAGGAAATTCTGGAAATTCTGTCCAAGTACGTTATAAACCATTATACAAATGAATAAAGGCTGATAGTTTCGAAAGAAACTGTTTGGGGCTGCGTCGGTGGGAGTAACGAAATAATTTGGATATATCAACAAAGTTGAAATGGTAAATTGGCCACCGTAATGATTACAAAAGCTGACGTTTCGAGCGTTAGCCCTTCGTCGGAGCGAAGGTGAACCATAAACCATTATAGTTCACCACTATAATGGTTTATAATTTTCTCTTATTCTTATTGGTTTAAATCTATCACGTGATGCGATAGTTTTCATCCGTCAAGAGACACTATCAGCCCATTATTAGTGCCTGTCCACGGAAAACACCCGGATGGATAATACTCAACCGTGAAAAATTTTGAATGGTTTGACGGCCACTAAGTTAGGCAGATTGGAAAAACAGTGACTTTTCAAATTTCCGCAGGGCAACTATCAGCTGATAGTTCCTTGACAGAAACACTCTATTGTTAAATTACTTTTTCTGCGATGTTTTGTATGAGATCCTTAACTTGAAATTATTTTTCGGGGTAAATGCCTCAGAATATCAGTTTTTTCACAAAACATCTGTCAGCTTTACACAACAGCATGATATTTATCAAGTACAGTATTTAACAAGCTGTTTGTGTGGTAAACAAACAATTTATTTTCCCACACTGCAAGTTCCAAAAGTTGTTTTGCCCAATATCATGTGTTAAAAGTTGTTTTGCCCAATATCATGTGTTAGTTAAAAACAATGACCAAATTAAATTTCCAATTAACAGTTGGTGGTACTACGGCTCTTTCATTCCCCATAAACCCAAATATAATGATATTATTTTTGCAATAATATATCTGACACTTTGGCTGAAAGGTGAGGGAGTTAATTGCAAAAAGGACTCTGTACATGTACTGTGTATGATATACTGATTGAACACATCTTTTGTGTCCTTACTTTCTTTATAATGTTTAATTGTTAAATTTATAGACAAGTAAAAACGAGTGATATAATATCCCGACGTTTCGGCGACTTCATGACACCATTATCAAGGGTACGAATGAAATTAAAATTAACAAATGCGAGTTTAGTTGTTAAATACTGCATTTTATAACTCTTGACCTATATTAACCAGACTGTATGTTATTTACATGCCCATCTTCAGCTGAGCAATGATGGTTTTTGAATGTAGAGGTGTTATCCAAATGATAGCATTTAACATAATCATTTTTATATATTGGATATATCAACAAAGTTGAAATGGTAAATTGGCCACCGTAACCATTACAAAAGCTGACGTTTTGAGCGTTAGCCCTTCGTCAGAGTGAATAGAGGAATTGTCATCTTTCAAACCAGCAGGCTAAATCCCACGGGGATCAATGAATGCTTTTTATTCCACTAATTTATTCATGTTTTTCTCGTTTTCTCATGTTTTTCTGCCTTTAAAAGCACACACAACCCACAATTCCTCTATTTGCTCCGACAAAGGGCTAACACTTGAAACATCAGCTTTTGTAATCGTTACAGTGGTCAATTTACCATTTCAACTTTGTTGATATATCCAAATTATTTCGTTAACCCCACTGACGCAGCCCCTAACAGTTTCTTTAGAAACTATCAGCCTTAAGTCATTTTTATATATTGTTATAGGACCGCAGCAGAACAAGCCCAAGAGGACACAAACCTGATAACAGGTAATGTCAGCTGTAATCAGTATTTATTCGTGTGATGATAACGAAATGTAGTGATCTTCTTCTTTGTGCCTATGGTCAAGTCTGGCAGTTTTTTTTTCTGGTACTTTGCAGTCTCAATATTTTTTTTCACCTGCAAAGTTCCTGTTTTGCCCTTACTTCTTGTCAAGGGCTACGACTTATGTCTACTGGAACATTAGGGCTCACAATTTTATGCTCACTTGAAATTGTTACCTTGATTATATTTTATTTGGAAGATTTACCTCTATGAGGTCATTTTCAAGCTGATGAAAAGGAAAATTTTTACTTATGTGTACTAAATTCAAGACGTGGGAATGATAAAGGCGATAAAATATAGAAATATGTAAACGCTAGGGGTTAAATAGAAGTGATAAAATTGCAAAGGAGACAATACGAATAAATTAATATGAGAGTTGACGAAAGTAAAACTATAAATTATGCAAAGATACCGTACATAGACAGGTAAAAACAAACGATATAAAATCCCGACGTTTCAGCGACTTCATGGTGCCATTATCAAGGGTACAAATGAAATGAAAATTAACAAATGTGAGTTCAAGAGTTACAACTAATTTGCATAGGGGAGGTAGCTTTGAAACAGCTGTTTCAAAGTTCTCAAGAAGTGCATGAACAAATTCTATTGTCTTGTCAAGGAGATGCTTTACATCAAACAATTAACACCGAGTTTGAACCTGCAAACGGATTCTATCCGTGCTAAAGTATTTGTGTAGCTACCTCCCCTATGCAAATTAGTTGTAACTCTTGAAATCGCATTTGTTAATTTTATTTTCATTTGTACCCTTGATAATGGCGTCATGAAGTCGCCGAAACGTCGGGATTTTATATCGTTCGTTTTTACCTGTCTATGTATTACTAAATCTTTGTTAATAAAGATACCGTAAATTATTATAAAAATAGCTTTGCGCGGATTGAGTCTGACTGTTTGTTCAAGCTTGGCTTAATTTTTCTTATAAAAAGCATCTCGTAAATTAGGCAGCCCAGTTTACCTTTGCATTTCTTCAGGATTTTGAAACTGTGGTGCAAGTCACTTGGGGTATGCCCAGGTGCAAGTCAGTTGGGGGATGCCCATGCCGCTCTTTAATGTGGTCCCGATTGAAGACTGAGATGCTTTGTGTTCTTCAGCACATTGGTAGAGGTGCCAGCATGTGTAGCCGACATAGTCTGCATCACACAGACCACACTTAAAATAATACACAATGCGCTGCTGATTGATGATGTTGGGCTTCTTTTCCGTTGGTTTTAACTCATATCCAATCTTTCTGTTAGTGTACACAGGAGAAATGTCAGTTCCAATTTTTCAGCTTAGGTTGCCAAGTCAGACTCAATCTGCGCAAAGCTATTTTTATAATAATTTACGGTATCTTCGTATAATTTATAGTTTTACTTTCGTCAACTCTCATATTAATTTATTCGTATTGTCTCCTTTGCAATTTTATCACTTCTATTTTATCGCCTTTATCATTCCCACGTCTTGAATTTAGTACATATATGTAAAAATTTTCCTTTTCATCAGCTTGAAAATGACCTCAGTGAGGTCGAAACATCGTTCAAAATTATTATCACTAACTTTTATCTTGAAAGCTTTTCTAAAAAACTGCTTATAAAGATTTACCTCTAAGGTAGTTATTAGAGTTTAAAACTATGCAGATTATAACAAGACTGAGAGGAGACAATTTGATGTATTTTACAACTGCTAACAAGTCACTGAGATTTTTTTTTTTTAATTTACTTATTTGTAAATGTTTGATGAAAACAATGTCAGTTGTAAGTGTCAGCTCATCTCTATCCAGGCATGGCCAAGTGGCTACTACTCCAGCATCTGAGACAAGAACAAAGGCTAAAGGTAAACTGTATTTCAAGCATAACTTTGTCATTTATAAAGTTTAACTTATTTAAGTCATTTTCTTGGCTGTAAGACATGAATATAATTAACATTATCTTAGCTGACATTTAAGTCTGATTATAACTCACACTCACAGATGATAGAGCTTATCCCTGGTCCCATAGGCTGACAGAAGTAGCTTGGTCTGATTGACCAGATTAACATTGACTAGAATGGTATTTTTTTTTGTTAGAATTGTTATCCTAAAATGTAATTTATTAAATACTGTTTTATGATTGCTTTTTATTAGTAGCAACCCTTGAGGAAGACAATGATGTAGGAGGCCTGAAGTTGGGTGGTTATGAAAAACACCAACAAAGGTTGCGTCAAGAGAGGAAAGAGGATTATAGAAAATATCTAGCAGAGGTAACCATTAATTTGTCTGATAGACATCTTTTGGATTGAGTGTCATAAACCAAAAACGAAGGTGACTGCAACAGCCAGTTTAATTAACAAAGGAAAATATTTCTAGGAACCATTAAGAACTCAAACAGAGAAAAAAACAAACTGGCTGAAGGGTAGAAAATGTGAATGACCAAGATGCAGCTATTTTGTATGTGATTGGTTAAGATTGGTGTAAGTTTCCTGAATCAATCCCAGCTACTTTGGGAACTCAACTGACAGTCATCCATATGAAATTGTAATATAGGAACTACTTTCCCCTCCAGCTTCTTTACATTAATTACCATGTAATCACCATTAGTTGGATGAACTTGGTGTTGCCACA